GATCTGTCTGCAAAATGAACTCCACACTGGCTAAATATAGGCGAAATTTATTCACGCCCCATACAATGGCTAAACATTCCCTTTCTACAGTTGAATATTTCTTTTCTGCATCGGATAACTTCTTACTTGCATACGCAACTGGATGAAGCTTCTCACCATGATTCTGCATAAGTACTGCTCCAATTCCTACCTGCGACGCGTCCGTCCGCAACACAAATAGTTTCTGTGGGTCTGGCAACTTCAAAATTGGTTTGCCCAATAAGTATTCCCGCAAAGTGTTATATGCTTTCTCCTGGGCCTCTCCCCATACAACTTTGTTAGGTTGTCCTTTCCTTAGTAGGTCACTCAAGGGTGCTGCAATAGTTGCGAATAAGGGGATGTGGTCTCTGTAGTAATTGACCAGCCCAAAGAATGATCGGACACCTTTCTTGGTCGCTGGTCGTTGCGCTTCTCGAATTTTCTCCATGTTGTCGTGACTTGGATGTCATAGAACTGGTGAAGGAGAGATTAATAGTCAAAGATGCAATGATGTCGGTCATATGGCCAAGAAGTGTCCAACCAGGACGGGGAAGTACGGTACTATAACGAAATTGGGCTTCCAATCTCAGAATACTGTGGTTCAAACGCACAATGCTCTAACCCAAGTTCTAACAAGCACATTGTGTATATAAAAGTTGAGTTTATACTAGTAATACACAATGCTTGACAGCATGAACGGCTATGTACAATGGCGTATACGAATGTGGTCAGATACTAAAACGTCGTAGCTTTGAAAAGTACCCGGATATTAAATATGTTCAATCGTTATTTATTCCCCTCCATGAATGGCCTCCATGGTGTTTAATTGCAAGCACTTCAAATGCCTATCCAAGCTACAGTTATAATTAAAACAAAATTAAACCACTGCAATATTATTTCCAATACAGTTTAGAATATACACAACTATAAATTAAGGCCGCATTTAGGTTCGCTTTAAACATTCACCTGAGAGACAGATGTGTCTTGCATAACATCCGAGGTCCAACGACGAAGTGCTTTATGATCAGGTTTTTCAGGAATGCCCACGTTGTCTGCCGCGGATGCTGCACCGAACGAAATGAATGCCCTGGGGTATAGAAAGACATCAAAATTAAATAAAACTTAATAACTGACGCACATACTGTAACAAAACATTAGGTGAAATTCCCTGGCTTGCTAAGTAAGTAAGTATGCAAGGCTTGAACGGGCACAATTGATCGTTATTGATTTATGACAATGTCTTTGTGGCAATGTTCTCTGTTATACGTTTTAAATCTGAGAATGTTGCTAGTGAATGTAACGTCTTCCAAACATAAATTCAGTATTGAACCAAAAATGGATTAGACACAGCACATGATAAACAGCCGAAGACAAAATAGCATCTTTTAAAAAGCATGCTATGCATGTATGATTTGAATACACGTATTATAAGTGTTTCAAAACAACGTGCTGCAACATCTGCTGTAAAAGGTGATCTCTTTTGTGCACGTGTCTGAAAAATTCGTTACATAAACAATTATCACAATCTCGGAAATCATAGGAAGACAAGTCACTGAGCACATAACATTATGCTAATGAAATCTGATAAAATATGATAATCCAGTGTTATATACTTGTCTAGAATTCTATGTCACCAATCAATTCCGCAATTGTCTAATCTCCTGGGCTTAGGAGTATGGTGGACCACGTGTTTTCTGCAGCATGGGAACGAGATACCGGAATATCTGCAATGAGTGAATCAGCAATATCATTTTGAACTTCAGGTAGGTATAGTGTAGTGATAATTATTTTCTATGACTGTCATAAGTTTATTGATATCATTGCACTGTGAGGGTGTCCTTCTCTTCTTCATGATTTGCAACATAGCCTGTCCATCTCAGCTGTACCTAACATGCCTCTGTAACCAATAGCTACTCCGCAACAATGCAACAAGAACCACGTAGTGTACAATTCTAAGAATACTATGGAGAATGCATCATTTGTGAAACGGTGCATTTCCACTGGCCACAACTCGCTGAACCAAAACCCTTGGAAGAAACCTCCACAACCTACTGTGGATGAAGCATCTGTATACATTTGCAATTGAGACTCATCGACCAGATCAGCATTGAGAAACAAATGTTGATTATCCTGTCATTCTTAATGTCCGGCAGAAAGACAGAATTCAATAATAATGTCTATAGAATTCAATAAAATACCTTCGTCGTCTAGTTCAAGTGGCTTTGAACAAACTTTATAGAAACAAAGTCATTTCAAAATATTCTTAGGGATGAGTAGCAAAAGCTTTTTCTTGGCAAAACTTCAAATAAACAGGGATCATATGCCAGTTATTTATATCCTCGCAGTTAGCCATGTCGAAACGAAAGGCGACACGCTAACCGTTGGTAAAATTGATGATTTTTTGCATGCGTCGGTGTCTCACAGCTACAGATTA